AGAGAGCTTTCAGTTGTGAGGTCCAATAAGAAACTGCGCAGAGTGCTGAGCTATTCATCTGCTCAGAAGCGACCTGGAAGATGAACTGCTCTGTGAATAAATGAAAAGCAGTAAACACAGGAAGAATAACTCTAAATTGTACAATCTGGTGACTCAAAAAGATACTGGAAATACCACATGAAAACATGGGCTGGCAGAAAAACAGTGCTAGGAATTATTATGGAAGAAATTAGGGGACAGAAAAGAAAATGGTCTTATGATGACCATACTTGTATGACTATATGATGGGGCATACTCATCTCTGAGAGGATGAGTGGCATCCCCAGGCCTGCCCTGCTTGACTTGCTCCGGCACCATGTGGCTACGTCCTGCTGGCCATCTGCTTGTGCTCGGCTCTTGGTCCCTGGGAGCTACGACCCCACGCTGCTCCCTGACCAGGCTTTCTGGGAGGCCAGATACTTGGAGTTGGCCCTTCCGAGTGTAGGGTTGACATTTCAGATTTTGTGTTGTGATAAAGTGAAAGTACTCAGGCATGAATTACGCTTGTGGGGAATAATACAGTTCTCATGTTGCAACATTAAATGCTCAAAACTCTTTTTTTTTTTAGCACTCAGGAATCCACATGCACATCTTAAATATTGCTGTGTCACAACAACAGAAAAAAATGAAATTGTTGGGGCAAATTTTAAGTTGTTTGCTGAAGGAATTTTGCATTTAACTCAGATTCTAAGAAAGCAGCTGTGAAAGCCTTCAATTTCTTCTTACTTTGTTTTTTGTGCAGGCTGAGCCTCAGAAAAAAAACAGCCAGTGTTTGACTTTTATAAAGCTGCTATCACTGAAATGTTCCTGCCTTCAGTTATTCAAACAACAGCATCAAGAAGCAGGCTGTAAGTATTTCTTAAGTTTTTTCTTCACATGGCTAAATATTTTGCACTTCTGTATTGAGGCAGTTTGCACCCGTGGGAGCCCACAAGCAAGTTCCTCCTGAACGGTGCAGGTGTCAGACTGTCAGCAGGGGTTACGGGGAGTCTTCCTGCAGGAATTCATGGGCCATGGATCTGGTGTGTGCACTGGGTAGGCACGTAGACTGTCTGTCTCCCTGTTTGATGGTGTCAGGGACAGCCCTGCAGAGCCCTACGGGAATGGTGTCTGAACCTGGGGAGTGTTTGGTGCAGTGTGGTGCCCAATGCTATATGTCTGTAGGGCTGTGCCTGGGGGGCAGGATTTTCGGGGCGGAGCTGGAGGACATGTTTGCAGGGCTGGCGAAGATGTATAAGAGAGGGTCCAGTTCCATGTGGAAAACAGCTCCCGAGAGGTCAGGGCAGTGGTGCTGGCCAGAGAAGGTCAGTTCTGTGTAGCAGCAATGCATTGAGTTTCTGCCAGGGAGAACAGACAGAGTTTGTGCTGCCCACAGAGAACCCATTTCACTGTTAGGTTTGTAACCAGCGGGGGAAACTCACTGTCCAAACAGAGCTTTGCATGCCTTAGCACTCTTTCACAACAGCAGCAGAAACTACATTTAAGCCCATGGGAAATAAATCTACTGTATGCCTGCGCATGGCTCTGCCCTCACTCCAGTCACATGCAACAGCCTCTGGGGTCATGGGGCTGCGAGCTTTCTGAGCATGAGGGGAAACTGCAGAAGATTTGGGTCTGGTTTTGTCCAGACAACGGTCAGGGTTAGGCTATGCTAGGTGAAGACAAAATGCATTTGACTACTTTACATGATCCAGATGAAGCTAAATGCTTGCAAACCACTAACAATAGTGCAGCTTTTTCTTAGGGCCTCCATCCAGTACGTCACCCCTGGGACCCCAGAGTTCCCTGGAGGTCCCAGGTGGGACCAGCACCAGGGTCCAGAAACTGCTGTGTTTGTGCCAGCAGGCCAAGGGAGGTGATCCTTCACCTCTGCTCAGTGCTGGTGAGGCCACACCTGGAGTGCTGTGTCCAGTTCTGAGCTCCTCAGTACAAGACAGACATGGAGACACTGGAGAGGGTCCAATGAAGATAATGAAGGGATGGGAGTGTCTCTCATCAGGAAAGGCTGAGAGAGCTAGGACTGTTCAGCCTAGAGGAGAAAAGGCTTGGGGAGATCTTATCGATGTATACCTGAAGGGAGGGTGTAAAGAAGACAGTGCCAGACCTTTCTCAGTGTTTCCCAGTGGCTGGATGAGAGGTGGTGAACACAAACTGAAGTACCATGAAATTCTTCTTAAGCATAAGGAAAGTCTTTTTAACTGTAATGCAGACTGAACACTGACACAGGTTGCCCGGGGATGTTGTGGGGTCTCCATCCTTGGAGATACTCAAAAGCTGACTGGACACGGTCCTGAGCAACCAGCTGTGGTTGACTCTGGTTTGAGCAGGCGGGGTTGGACTAGATGACCTCCAGAGGTCCCTGCCAACCTCAGCCATGCTATGATCCCTCCATCTTCTGCTGATGTACTGTGAGACAAGGCTTTACAGGACTTTTCAGACAGCGCTGACACATCCCATCCCTAGCAGTGTCCTGGAGCTGATTTACACATATAATTAGTACAGGGCCACGGTCTGGTTCCCCACTCTTCTCTCACCCTCTAACTCCTGCACAGCACTCTTGCACCACACTGAAAGATAAACAAGAAAATGCTACTTCTTGGAAACGGCCAAGTACTGTTTGTGGCTATTGGATAGATCATGAGTATCTTGGGGTGTCTCGGCAGAGAGGGAGCTATCAGTCAAGTGGATCTGCTCTGAGATACTTTTCTGGGACAAGGAAGGTCCTGGTCACTGGCAGGATATGGCATTCAGGGCACTCTTGCCATGGTGTGGGGGGTTGGAGAAAGTAAACGAAAAGTTCGAGTGAAGACTTTATCTGCCTTCTTACCCTGCACTTTGTTCTCTCATGAGGCAGAGCATCAGCAGTCAGCCCATGCCCTGCTCCCTCTGCCTACGTACAGCGCACTGGCATGGCTTTCTGATGGTTAACGTGTCCAAGAGATGTCAGCCGATTACCGCATAACCAACCCCAAGGAAGGCAAAAAACTATGTGGCCAACACAGCAGAGGAGAGCTGCAGTCTCCAGAGGGTTTGGGCTCTCGGCTGGGACAAACCCAGTTGTCACTACTCAGAACAAATGGATGGGAGACAATGAGTGAAATGCTGCTGCTTTACATCGTTGTCCAACTATTGCTAATGTCTGCGTAGAAGAACACACAAGGGGTTAATCCAATTAGTCAGTTTTACTCCTGGGACTGACAGGAGTCAGCCGAATTAGAAATGCCCACCGCAAAGTCTCTCCCAGGTTTACCAGCCTCCAA